GTGTGTGTGTGTGTGTGTGTGTGTGTGTGTGTGTGTGAGTGAAACAACCATCAACAACAGGATGTGTGTTTAGAAATGAAGTCTTTCAGTCCGTATATGTTTTATTTGTGGGGAAGAAGAACTATTGATAATTGATTACTTCTTTCTCAGCTTTGTGAAGGGAAAGTTTGCCACCTACTGGAGACATTAGAGCATTACCTCCTTGTTCATCCTTTCTCACCATCTTTGTGCTCTCTTGTATGATCCTTTTACATTCTGAAAGAGACAAATGTGGATGTATTGTGTCATCAAATGTGTTTTTTTTTTTTCATTTGACCTTTATTTGTACAGGTAGTCTCATTGAGATCCAGAATCTCATTTCCAAGAGAGACCTGTTATAAGACAAAAATTACAAAACACACTGTCTTATTCTTTAAAATTTTATTAGATTTTTTATCATACAAAGATAACTGTATTATCTGCCAAGTTTGAACTGTTTTATTTACATTGTGATTGTGTTTATATCCCAAAACAACCAAGTGAAGATTTAAAATAAATTCTAATGTATTTGTGTTTGTCCCTGTTATCTTTTTCAGATCTACTGTCGTCTGTGTTTGAAAGCTGAATAGGATTAGCCATTGTTCTGCAGTGCTTTCCTGCCCATTGTTGCTTGATGGAAAGCTTTCCTGTGCACTGAGCTGACCGGCTGCCCTCTGAACCTGCAGTCATGTCAGCCTGCAGCACCTTCACCGAGCACGTGTGGAAACCAGGCGAGTGCAAGAACTGCTTCAAACCAAAGAGTCTGCACTGCTTAACCCAGAGCGGTGGAGGGAAACCACCTTCTGAACACAGGTCTACGTCAAACCAGCAACACATCACACCTGCAGCTGGGAGCCGAGCTAACGCTAACCTTACTACAAACATCCAGAGAGGTGGAAGTGGACCTGCACGCCCAGGACCAGTCCGTCCACCAGTGGCTAGAAAGCCAACCATTGCTGTAAAGCCCACTATGATGCTGCCCTGCTCCTCTGCTGCTCTGGATTCAGATGGCAGTTTGCAGCAACAAACACATATCATAGAACAAGGTAAAAACTCAGCCTTCACGGTCTGGAATCACAACGGACTGAACAGTAAGAGGCCCAGTGGACCCAGCAACAATAATGAAGGAGAAGATGGCAGTGAGGAAATTGAAGGTTATGGACAACTGAGCCCAAGGACACCCAGTGGGAATAATAATAGTGGATTGACTGATGTCCTGAAGGAGATTGCTGGTTTGGGTCCTGGCTCCAGCCCCCCACCCTTACCTGGGTCCAAAGACATGTTTTGGGGGCGAATCAGTAGCTCCTACCAAAGGTCCTTAGAAAGAGGCCTCCCAGCCTCCAGCTGCCTGGCCATGGGAACCAGCAGTGGTGCTGCCCAAAAGAGAGTATCCCTTAGTGACAGTACAAACATCATCAGCACAGAAGGTGGACGCTACTGCTACCCAGAATTTTCCAGTGAAGATGATGAAGATGAGGAGGAAGAGACTGAGAACGATGATGATGATGATCATGAGAGCTGGGATGAAAGTGATGAAGAGTTACTGGCCATGGAGATTCGTATGCGAGGCCAGCCTCGATTTGCACATTTCCGTGCTGCCACACTGTCTCCTGTACCGTTTGCTGCAGGAAAGAAATGGAACACTGTGCCGCTTCGCAACCGTTCCCTTCAGAGGATCTGTGCCGTGGACTACGATGATAGCTTTGATGAAATCTTGAATGGCTACCCCTCAGTTGATTCCAACGGGAGTCTTCTTCCCTATGGTCCTCGTGACATCCAAGGCAGCGCTTTCCTGTCAAATTCAGAGTCTACTACTTCTCCAGAATCATCTTCGTCGCTACAAGAAGATTCTCGAACCACATCCAGCAGTGGGAGCAGTGCCCAGTTTGCCATAAAAAATGGTTTGCATTCACCCATATCTTGCAAGGCACCCATCCCATGTGTATCTCCCTCCAAAAAGGAGCCTGTCAACAGAGTATCAAGTCCACTCAAAGTGGCTGAAACACACAAAGCTGTCCTGGCCATAAGATTGGAAGAACAGGATGGCAGGGAAGGCATGCCAATGCCTCAAGCCCTACCTGGTCAACCAGTAACTATAAGTTTTAGTCCCACAGAGGAGCAGGCTAAACCATACCGTGTTGTAAACCTAGAAAAATCCCTCATATGCAAGCCCTACACAGTGGTAGATGTTTCAGCATCCATGGCCAATAAAGATGAACAAATACCAGATTCTTTGCCAAAACCCAAAAACCTGTCAAAGCCATCCAGCCCTATGTCAGTTTGTAGCACTCCTTTAGTCCAGCCTCTATCTCCAGTGACCCCCATTTCTCCATTTTCACCTTTAAGACCAACATCCCCTTTATCTGTTGGCCAGGTAGGTTTTCCACGAAAGAAACCAGGTGCTGTACGCTACCAAGAAGTGTGGACATCGAGTACAAGTCCGCGACAAAAAATACCTAAAGTGGATCTAGGAAGCCCTCCTGGTTCCTCTGTCCCTGCTCAGTTCTGTGGTCATAAGTCAGCTCCCACTTCTCCTGTTGCAGGCTTGTCTTCTTCTCAAACTGTACCTGTAAAATCCCCCAACTTATCTGAGATCAAGTTCAACAGTTTTAATAATGCAGGCATGCCTCCTTTTCCCATTATTATTCGAGATGAACCAGCATACGCCCGCAGCTCAAAGAACGCAGTTAAAGTACCAATTGTTATCAATCCAAGTGCGTACGACAATCTTGCTGTGTACAAGAGCTTCCTGGGACTCCATGGGGAACAGTCCCAAACAAAAGGAGTGGGTAGCAGGGTTACCAGCCATACCTATGAAGAAATCGGATCCTCTGAGAGTGTTCATTCCTCTTCAACAGAGAAAACTCTTTCTGGGAGGGGTGCATCAGAGCAAACTTCATTTGAGGACATGAAATTTCCTCTTGAACCAAAAGCACCAAGTTTGCTCCCAAAACCCACTGTAGACTCTAGCACTGCAACAAGCACTGTCATGAGTTCTCCATCTGGGGCCTTCTCACCAACTACATCAACAAATTCCCTGTCTAATCTAGCCATTACTGCTAATCTGACTAAATCTAGTCCTGTTGGAAATGTTCTTCCTCACACTTACTGGACAGCTGGAGATGATACTTCCTGTAAAGATGATGATGATAAAAGCTCAACTTTATCTTCTGGGACAGTTGTAAGTCACAGAGAGGAAGCCAGTGCTGTACTGTCACAGATTGTAGCCTCTATCCAACCTCCTCAGTCTCCCCCAGAGTCACCCTCAGCCCAAACCAAAACAGTTAGTTCTGAAGAGTTGTACGCCCTCCCACCTGATGCCATGAAGGAGACTCTTAATCGACCCAAGTCTCTCTTCTCTACCACTGATGGTTGTCTTTCTAAGCCAAGAAAAGAGAACCTCTCAAAGGTTTTGTCTAAATCCCAGAGTGCCTCTGCTGCTGTGCCACTTTCCAACCCTCGTTCAGAAACCAGTGCCCCCTACCCTCCCCCAAGATCCACATCCTCCCCATACCATGCTTCTAACATCCTTCAAAGGCATTTTGGTAATTGGACAAAGAGCTCTGCTTCAAGTTCCCCTGTCCGGCCCAGTGAAGGTGAAGCAAGTCTTGGTGCAGAAGGAAGGCGCACTTCAACAGAAAGCTCCAAACCTAAACGATGGATCTCCTTTAGGAGCTTCTTTCGTCGGCGGAAGGATGATGATGAGCAGAAGGAGAAGGTAGAGAAAGACAAGGAGAAGGGTAAACTGCTGGGCCTTGATGGGACAGTCATTCACATTCTTCCACCTCCACCTGTGCAGCCTCAGCATTGGTTTACAGAGGCCAAACCCCAGGACCCCACTCAGAAGCCTACTATTATTTTCACCTACAAACCTGGCACTCAAAGCAACGCTTGTGATGGAGAAGGAGAGCTACGAGTAGAGCATTGCAAAGAAATGGAGCTACCAGCAGCAGATGGAAGTAAGGACAGCAGAGCATTGAGCCCAGAGCAAAGCCAGTCCTCAGAAACCACTGGAGGGGACGTCTTCAGCAAAGACCAAAGGTATGTCTAACTTCTACTTGCTCTGCTTCTTAATAACACACATGTGTAGTGGATATTTATGAGATCAATAACTGTAGGCACAAATGTAGCTTATATGAAGATGTCATCAAAGACAAGACAAAACAAAATACAAACAAACTAAACTTATGTTGTAAAGAATCACAGCTTAAAATGAATGTCCAACCTCTAAAGTGGTAAAACTGTCATCACATCACAGAACTGTGAGGTAATGGTATCTTAATGAAACATGCTGATTGCAAGAACTAAACATCCTTAAACTCTCTTGTAATGTTTTTACCTTTACTGTGCAACACTGCTTTTGTTTTACTCAAGTTGTATCTAAGCTTTAAGCAAGGCACTTTGTCTCATTAACATTAATCTGTCTTACCTAATGTGTTCCTGTGTTCTTTAATAACAGGTTTTAATCTGGTGTTACTGTATCTGAGCACTTCATTGACACAGAAGCCTAAAAAGGTATCAGATACACTGGATGTGTGGTTCCAGTTAGCTTTTTTCTTCTTCAGAAATAAGGTTGAACAGCTTTCGAGTTATTCTCAGTACCTTATTCTGTGTTTAAGAATGGGTCAGAAAACAATGAAAATCTGTAAACATGTCCAAACACAACCACACACAACCATCCTGTCAATGTATAAACAAAAGAAAGGTACAGGGAGTGAGGCTGTGCTACATAAACACAACCTCAGTATATTTTACACAGAAATCTGTTTTTGTTGAATTGTGATTCAATTCTTACATTTAAAAATAAGACCTTTAATTGAACAGCTTATAGTGGGTTGTATGTTTGCTCACAGGACATGTTGTCTCCATTTTCATGGAGTGGTTTGGTGAGTCGTCCTGGAACCAGAAGGTCGCTGGTTCGATCCCCCGTCCAGCCGTCTCAGTTGTTGTGTCCTTGGGCAAGACACTTCACCCACCTTGCCTACTGATGGTGGTCAGAGGGTCCGGTGGCGCCGGTGCATGGCAGCCCCACCTCTGTCAGTGTGCCCCAGGGCAGCTGTGGCTACAGTGTAGTTTGCCATCATCAGTGTGTGAATGTGAGTGTGAATGGGTGAATGTCTGTTAGTGTAAAGTGCTTTGGGGTCCGGAGGGACTTGAAAAGCGCTCTATAAGTTCAGTACCATTTACCATTCATGTGTTTTTGTATGAATAAACTTTAATGAGCTGCAGTTTTATAGATGCTAATCTACATATCAAAGTGTCCTTGTGACCTTAAGACGTATTCAACCATTTATTCAAAGTGAAAGATCCTTTTTCTTCTCTAGTTCCTGAAAAGTTGTGATTTTGCAGACGAAGGTTTTTGCCTGACACCAACAATCATTAATAGTTTAATGTTTGTGGTGATTATTAGTAAGTTGGCTGTGATGTAGTCTGGAGATGTAGCCCTGTGCAGCAGTCTTGTCCTCTTGCAGCAGTTCTCAGATTCCCCCTTTTAAACCTTTGTAGCCTCTGACCTTCATTCTCAAGGTTATTTTCTTTAGCTGATTTTTACTCTGCCTCGATGTTTTTTAAACCATCCAGTGTTGTTTGGGTTGTTTTTATTTGCTCCTCGTTCCTATCTTTGAGTTTTTAATTTAGCTCTCAGAACCCATGAATCCTTTGAGCCTGAATCTCTGGGAACCCCTCCAACCCTGTCAGGAGATCGGCCTCATTCTGTCTCCATTTCAAACTTCTCTGGATATTTTCCTTCTCCTCCACCTTCAGCTGATGTGCTGCCTTTATTCCTGAAGTTTCTGTCTTCTCTCTCCCTTTTCAACAAGTGGTAAAAACCTCACGTGTGGGCTCACGTTGCTACTTATAACAGATGTCTGGAGTTTAATAATGTTGCTGCTTCTGGACTAAAAGTTCAAACGAGTTGATCAGTAGAGCAGTGATTAGCTGTAGAACTAGTTTTCTGTGAAGGGTTTTGCAAGCAGAGCAGCAGTCTGCTGCATTAATTAAATGTTAAATAATTGGTCCTTGTGTTTGCTTAGTGTAGACACTCTTGGTAAAACATCTTAAAAAAACTGCTGTAGTACTGGTCTTGTTGCAGCATCGTCAAACTGAACACATTTTAAATCTGATTCGCATTCTTCTAACATTCATCAAGCTTTGTGTCATAATAAGCAAAGAGACAACTAAATCTATTCAATCAGAAATGAAATAGTTTGAAACTTTAAAAAAATAAAGCCTGACATTTGACAGCAGTGAGACAACAGAACTGAAATAACTAAAACAAAAGAGTTATTAGAAATACAATAAATTAATAAATGACTGGCCTTATTGGTGCTTAGAATTTTATTTTAGGGAGACCCTATCAAAACTAAAAACTAAAATTATCTTCAAACTACACAACAAAATCTATCAACAAAGTCAAGCTTAAGCCTAACATTTGCACTCTTCAGTTACAGAAGACTTGTGGACATTTCACTTGGTGGGTTTAGGTAGACTGAACCCAGGAGGAGTTCAAATTAAATGACGTTTTATTATTAAGCAACACAACACTTTGCTGTGGCGGGGGCCCGCCCTGGGTGCCCCCTTGCTCTGTCGGCGGTTGGGTGGGCGCTCTTGGCCAGGTCGTCCTTGCTGGGGAACGGTGGCCTCACTGGGCGGCGGGCCGGCTATGGGGCTGGGATCAGGTTTTGTGGGTCTGGGTGGCTCTGGGGGGTTGGGGTGTTTGTCCCGGTTTCTGGTGGCCTTCGGGGCTCCGTCAGTTCATGGTCTGGGGTTCCGTGGGCTTGGCGGTTTGCCTGGAGGGAGAGGTATTTGGGCTGCTCTTCCTGGGTGGGTTTCGGGGAADGGGAGGGCTTACTGGGGCCAGCGGGGGAGCTGACTCCCTGTGGGAGCATTTTTCTCCTTCAGTTTATTCTCCCCATCCCTCACCGCACACCTCCATCCTCTTCACTTTCAACTTCACCCATGAGGTGTGGCTCTTGGTTCTTGTGGGTGGCCCGCTGGCCAGGGTGGCTGCCGGGTTCCGGGGGGTGGGCGGC